TGTATTAAAACCCTGATGGCATTCTTGCATAAAACGGGATATTGTTTTTCCACGGATAGCCAAAATTTTTGGCAAGGCTGAGTCTTAAATTGATTTCGAAGAGTATAATCACTAATTAAATCTATCAATTGCTCTTTCTCACTAATTTGAAGAGTTGAACTGCATATGTCGTAGGAAAATGGATCACGAATCCAACCAAGATCGTTTTCAGGAAAATCCTTGAATCTTCTGCATGAAATCGCAATTAAACAGTGAGTGACGGCGCTTCACTCTTTATATGTACACTGTATGGTATGCAGCATGCAGGCATAATGCATTTCATAAATATTTGGCGACCCCCAAAAAACTTCTAGCGACCCCCACAGGGGTCGCGACCCCTAGTTTGCGCACCACTGACGTATATGATACATTTTAAAATTTATCATTTTATTTAAACTATAAAACTGTGCAAAACATGTACCATTTGAACATTTCAAATACCTGTCGACTGGAATTATTTCGGAAAAGTAATGGTTGGACCCCGCGAATACAAGTTTTCCTACTATAGCTTGAAGACCGGGAGTAAAATTAAGGCATTGTCTATCTGTTATTCAATGAAAATTATAATATAACAATAAAACTATTTTTAGCAGTACTTCTATATTTTAATTAATATTGTATATTCTATAATTTTCAGGAATTATCGCGTATCTTAAAAAATAAATGCATATACATATGCATTTATTTTTTATATGCATTTATATTTCTATTACTGATAATTTTACTTAATTCAGTTAAGGTAGCTGCTGATAATAAAGTGATATCTGATCTTAAGGTTTTTTTGAACTTATTTTATAAAGACTTTGTAATATAGAATAATAGACCTAATAACAAAATATTGATCATTGGGCTTGATAAACAGATGATCGCTACACATTAAAACAAACAATAGATGGATAGTTGGTGATATACATTATTATTTATTATTATTTAATAGTTCACAAATCACAATCCTGTATACTGTTTAAACAGTATATATACAAACGTACACGTATACATACATTTAATGGGAATCATCATTTCCCCTAATGGGGATCAGTCTTTCCCCGCACCGCTTTCGCATAACGGGGCTTAGATACAATATTCTTTACAATGACTTATACTTTAAATACAATTATACAAAATATAAAAAAAATTAAAAACAAACTTGCTCAGGAAAATTAATTACAATTTAACCGGAGCTACTTTGTTCTGTATGATCTTCTTAAAAAGGTAACAAGCCTGTACGTCTGTTTGTTCCTGATTAATTGGTAACACCACAGGGCCAGCGTAACCTTCTTTCAATACAACCATTTCGAGATAATGTCTTTCAGATGTCCATTCCAAGCAATCATAAATAAGATGGTCCAAAGTCTCCATCTCCTCTCCACATACACATTCATTTTGTTCATCCAAATGAAACCTGCTCCTATATTCTCCGAGGCCATCGTGTCCCGAAAGACAAATCATAAGTTCACACTCTCTCCCAAACCACTTAAGATGGGAGAGTCTTTCATCAACATTTGGGAGTAAGTCGAAGGTTTTCCTCCCTTTTATACTATTTGTCCAAATCTGTTGCCATTTCTCTATAATTTTACTTTTTAATGCCTCCTTTCCCCAGGACTGTGGAATTGTGTTAAATACTTTTTCATTATTAGTGGCTGCTTCTTTGGCCAGAAAATCGGCCCGTTTATTCCCATATATACCGACATGTGCTCTGACCCATTTAAAATAAAACTTCTCTATTAGACTATGTTCTCTGAGTTTTGTCTGAATACAAAAGACCTGCTGATGTTTACATTTACGGTTAGTAAGGGCCTGAAGAGCACTGCGACTATCTGTATTAATACAGACACCTTCTTTCCGTTCATGTTTTATACACCATTCAACATCTTTGTCTATGGCCAATAACTCAGCTTGAAAATTGGAGCAATATGCTTCCAATGTAGCTTTGTCACTATGAATTTCTTCATTATGCTCATAAACTACGAAAGCGGCCCCAGTGTCTGAATCAGACCTAGAGACGTCCGTATATATATTAGTCTTAATTAGGTCATTAGCCAGCAGCCTTACCCCTACACTTTCAGCTGGGTGAAGCAGTTCCTTTACTAAGATATCTCGTTCATAATTATTTAGATCAATTGGAATATCGATCCTGTTATCCTCTCCGCCTTTCTTTAGCCAATACCTCTCAGCTCTTTCCTCTATTATTAATTCAAGAGGCGCTTTTCCCGCCAAAACCATAAGAGCCTCCGTAGATGTAGTCTTAGAGCCGCCGCAAACTAGCGCTTTGCGAGAGCAAAACGCTAGCAAACATGCGCTAGCACAACCGATAACATCGAAGGCTCCGTCCCTTTCTTCTTGCCCACGCTGTTTTTCCTTCGCTAGCGCAGCGATACGAGAGTACGCTCGCTGTTCACAGAATTCAACAACTAGAGCATTTACGCTAGCAAGAGAGAGCGGGGAAGACGGATGACTACATAAACATGTCACATATCGAAAAAGAAATAATAGAATTTTATCGATGTACGTAAATTACATGATTAATACATTCAGTATTGAAAAGAAAATAGTATAACCGTTGTATGTAAATAGTAATATACAGTATAAATAGTTTTCGGCTAGTTAAGCCTAGTTAGGCTTAACTAGTAAACATGTTTTTTTCCATGCTGTTTCAAAGTTCGGAATGAAAACTGACTGATTACAAGTATAGGTTGTAATAAAATCTTGTTCTATAGCCAATCTACATCTGCGGAATCCACGTCATGTGGACTACGTTACGCGAGCAAACGTTGTGTAGTTTGCGGCTGCTTCGTGCCCGCGTAGCTTACCTAGCAAAAATGGCTCATAACATCATGGGAAAAAGGCGGGGCTTAGGAGCGCGAGCGAGCGTACACTAGCTCCCGCATCCTGTAGTTTGCCCGCATCCTGTAGTTTGCGGCGGCTCTTAAAACACCTTGTAAGCTTCAAAAGAGCAGTCCTTTGAGCCTGCCTAAGGCACCTCATCTGATTTGAATTTCTGACCTTATCACTCCACACCGAAGCTGCATAAGTTATTATTGGTATAAACTTACCATCGTATATAGCTTCCATTGCTTATGACTTGAGCCCCAGGTCCCATAAGCAACCTTGGCCAACTTATTAAAAATTATATTACATTTTTTTTAAACTGCTTTACATGCATATTCCAGCTCAACTTGTTATCGATAATTACACCCAGGTATTTCATGTTATTCACCACTTCAATCTTCTCATTTCTCATCCTTATAATTGGCGGCCTCTTCTGCAATGCCGAGGTAAAGTCCTTTGCAAATATCATGATTTTTGTCTTTTGTGGATTAAATACCAACTTGGCCTCTTTACCCCACTGATCTACATCTTTCAGTAGGCTTCCACACTCCATCTCTGTTTCTACGAGAATGCCCAGAGCAAATTATCATTATGTCATCGGCATATGCCGTGCATCGAATCCTCTCCTCAATATTTTCCTTATTATACTATCAAATTGAAGTATCCAAAAAAAAGGTACTAGAAAGAGGGAGCCTTGCGGGCACCCTCTTACAGAAGGTACTAGAAAGAGGGAGCCCTGCGGGCACCCTCTTTCTAGTTTTTTCTCTACACTTAAATAATTAGAATTATACTTCGCTTTCCGCTCTTTAAAGTAATCCTTTACAAGATAATATAGATTCATTGGACAATTGTTAGTCCTTAAGTGGTGGAGAATCATTTCCCACCATGCAGTGTCAAAAGCGCCCTTAATGTCTAAGCTTATAGCTACTGCATATTTGGCTCCCTTCACTACTTCTGTTATATCTTTCACAACTTTATTTATTGTGTCCTCTGTCGACCTTTGGAGCCGAAACCCAAACTGAACTTCTTCAATTTTATTATCATGCTCCCAATGCCACATTATCCTTTTAATCATTTGGTCATCTAAGACCTTACCCATTACGGGCAACAGGCTTATCGGCCTATTAACTTCCAGTGTCTGTGAAATCCGTTTTCCCAGGTTTTGGAATTATCACTATTCTTGCCCTCTTCCATCTTTCAGGAAATACTCCATGCCTTAGACATTGATTATACATCGTGAGGAGTACCTCGGGACAGACCTCCTACATTTTCCTTACTATTTGAATCACAATGCCATCATCTTCTGGGGCCTTATTTGATTTTATGTTATCTATACTCTCTTTAACTTCTTCAGCTGTAAAAGGAGGGTCTTCCCTCTCTTCATATACCTCCTCTGCCACTTGTCTGATTTTCCTATGTCCCTCGTTATCAATAGTCCTACTGTCTTCTGGAAAGAATTGATCCAAAAGGTAAGAAATTGTTTCCTGCATCGAATTAGTTACCCACATTGGGCCTTGACTGTTGTAGTTATTGTCTTAGACTTTATCTTTCCAGTACTGAGCTTGAATATAAAACTCCATGGATCACTTGAATTTTCCTTGCAATAAGCTTTCCAAGAATTTAACTTATAATCCTTAATCTTTTGCTTATAATGCTTCTCAAATCTTAGATACTCCCTTTTCCTTCTTTCCCTTTCCTTCTGATCCCAGCAATGCTGAAACCTCTTTCTTAACCTGTTATTGTTCCTTTCCTAACCTGTTATTGTTCCTCCTAAGATCCGCATTCCACCATGGAACCAATTGCCTCCCGTCTCTTCTGTGGTATACAGTCCTCACATATCTCATTAATCTTCTGAATGGCACTATCTATATTAGCCTGTACCTCCTCCTTTTCCAAGCAATTCCTATTTATTAGTTCACTGAGTTCATTAATACAACGGGCCGAAAACTTCGCCCAGTTCGCTCTGTTAATATCAAACTTCTTCCTTTCAATTCTCTCTTCAACCTTTGGGAGTTAAATCTTAAAACTTATCGGCGAATGGTCACTGAGACAGCTTTCCGCCTTAACCTCCTATTCACCTATCCATTTTAGACCTTTACTATTACACGTCGTTAAACTATCACTATTACGTATTACACATCGATCCAACTTTGTCCTCTAGGCCTAACAAACGTTGGAGGCGATGCCGGATCATTAACCACATGCAGCTCATGCACTGCTAAAAAATCTAGGAATTCATCGGCCTCAGTATCCTGCAATGGGTCTTCCCAGACTGGAGAGTGGACATTAAAGTCCCCTCCTATAATAATGGCCTGTCCTGTGAACTTTTGCATTATCCTTTCAATGCTGTTATAGGTGTTGGCCATCTCTTCTCCGAACGGGCGGTATATACTCACAATTATAATCCTCTGACCAAAAACGATTATCTCACAACATACACATTTATGATTACTTATATCCTTATGAAAAAGGATATCAATATTAGAATTAGAGACAACCACTGTTGCCAAAGGCCTCTCTGCCTCAGCCTGAATGACTTGAAGCCTTCTACTTAAACTAGCCACCTTGCCTTTAACCGAATATGGTTCTTGAATTAATGCAATCTCAGCTTTCTCCAGCCATTTATTCATCTCTGAGGTCGCCGCTAACCCCTTTTGCAGATTCGCTTGAACTACAGCGATCTTTTCTCTTCTCTCAATAATGTTCATTTCCATAATCTGTTCTACTTATTGTAATTGCTTTAATCCTTTGGACTATAGGACACTTTCTGTCCAAGGCGTTATGTCTCGTATCTGTTTGGTTTTCATTTTTGCAATTTGTACACATTCTTATCGTATTCCTGTTTGGACAATCCTTATACCTGTGTCCATGCCACATTGACTGCAGGTGGGGGTCTCTTGTTTACATTCACGGGCAAAATGACCCATTCGGGAATCGTGAGCCGTTCACAGCCCGGCACACGTATTTGTAAAATCGAAGTGACTCGTACAACATGGAATTCATATAAAATGGAATAATCAACAGTGTTATAGGGGAATCGACTGTATTCGCTATTAAAACAATTGGCACTGATATTATTTTATATATATTTTTGTGACCTTAAACTAGTCTACCTAAAAACAGTTTCTTTATATTTGTAGCTCAAGGTGCGCGCGATCCACTTCTGATTTTTCTAGCATGATCCTATCCCATCGCATGATTTTGAATTTTGTACCGTTCGTTTGTCTCATCACAGCATATTTATTTTAGTTTTTACTGCAAATCAATGATTCTTAATATCACACGTAAATTCAATAAAAGGAGATATTTAACTACCTTTATACATCATAGAACATTCAGAGGATTCCTTAGATTTAATTTCATATAAATAATAAACACATTATCCAATAAGCATTAAATAATATATTACAGATTAATGCTACATTTTCATTTTAATGTAAAAAATTACTTATCTGGTTATTCATAATATTTTGAGTTGTTTCATATGAAACCTACTCACATATACTGTATTCTTTTTATTAAAGCCAATATAAAAGGAAGCAATTAGAGGATCCCACAATCCAGGAGCAACTAAGTGAAATTTCAAATATCTTGGTTAGTTATATTATTTCCCAACAGCTCTTAAATAAATAAACAGTTATAGCATTCCCATTTGGCAAGATATAGAATGGAGAAAAACTATTAATTCACAATAATTAATTAATTATAAAATAACTTATAGAAACTGTCTGTTATAATAATGTTGTTATATCCTTAATAACGATGACATTATTCTGTATGCAAAGATAACTATGAACTGAATAAATGGACAAAAACAAAAACCATGCAAATTATATTTTATTCGTTTATTAACAGCTTACCGTAGAAACATAGGTAGCCCATACATTGCAAGTTAATTACAGTATTAAATTACTAGTAGCCCGGGACGCCCCCTAGTGGGCGTTATTTACAAATTTCCATGAGGCACGATTCCTTTGACTTTTTGTTCCTATGAATATGCTGTACAGTTCCGTTAAAGTCCCAATAGTAAGATTTACCCTCCGAATGAAGGGATGGCAACCCTCCAAACTGTATCCCCCCTGTGCGAACAATAAAGTCAAAGGAACCATACCCCTACTCGCGACCCTTCGCGAGATATAAGCCCGTGAAAATTCGCCTACGTCATTTCCGGTCACGTGACATCGTGGTCAAAAGGGAGCCTACCGCACGAAAAAAAAATTAATGCGCGCTCGCCCACACTCGGGTGGTCGCCGACCCGCTCATTCGCAGGGTAAATTGTGGCAAACAGGCGGTCACATGACCCGTAGAATAATTTTCGGAGGGTCGCGCGTAGGGGTATGGTTCATTAGACATTTATTGTTCGCACAAAGGGGAGCGCCACCCCCTTCATTCGGAGGGTAAATCTTACCGTCCCAATCGCGTCATATGGATCTATATTTCTATCTATTAAACATTCTATAAATACTTTAAAATAGTTTAATTTGTTTATTTACCTTAGCTTGTAAACCTCGATTTTAAATGCACCCGCCATTTTTTCAACAAATTTCCCGTGAGTCAATGCGCGACGTTCACTGACTTGTGAGTCACGGGATGTTGTAAACGTGCGGCGCAAGGTTAATCAAGGCATATAATAAGGCAAGGCAAGGCACATAATAATTATTTATACCATTCCGTGGTATAAATAATAAATTCATATCAATAATAAATTCCTATTACAAATAAATATAATTTATTGTTAATTTAAAATCTTCGCTAGGGCACCTCTAGTGACCGTTTTTGGCATCCGTTACGCGGACAGAATGGGTTATATATATAGATTGTTTTACAATTATTAATACATTAAGAATAATTCTTTACTGTAGCAATATCTTTCTTTATGTAATAATTTACAAGCACCTGTGAAAGAACGTGATTTAAATAGTGACATACTATTACGTAATAGCATATTTTGTTGTTTACTTGAAAAAGAGCAGTTTTCAGGTTTTAATTTCTTAATTATTTAATAAAATTGTGATTTATTACAGTTAAGTAAATCATAAAATGAAAATGTGAAATATGCAACAATTTGAAGGGAAAAAAGCCGCTATAGCTTTTCTTTTCTAAATATTTACGAAACTTCCACTCGAAATTGAAATTTACAAATTTTAAATTATTTTTAACAAATTGCAGTAAAAAGCAATCTGTGCTATGAAAAGATACACCAGAACAAGACCGTGGTAGAAATACCTTCTACTAAGCTGAGAAATAACTTAAGTGTTCTTTGATTGAGGGAATTAAAGGTCAAGGTGCAAGAGCTGCGATGATCCACTCCTTCCTAAACTTTGTTTCCCATTTATATAATTAAAATAATGAGCTTTATTAATAACAAATAATAGAGAGGTTGCGGCCGACGTTTTCAACGCGAAAACGTGCACATCGGACGTTCAGCGCCACCTTCCTGCAAACCTAGAAATTTGACAATGGCGTTTGGAACGTCGATCATGATTCTACTGACGTTCCAAACGCCATTGTCAAACGTCTAGGCTTATAGGAAGGCGGCGCTGAACGTCCGACGTATACGTTTTCGCGTAGAAAACGTCGGCCGCAACCTCTCTAATGTAATAGTATATGAAAAAATTATAAGAGGGTTGATTGATCAATAAGATCTCCATATTTATAAAGTTACTTCCAGAAGAGGTGGAATACTGCGACTAATTTTGAGAAGTAGAAAAAGCATTTATTTAAATTATAGATACTCAGTTTTTAATATAATTGTTATTAGTAATGATACATTTTTCCCATTTATCCATTTTTTCATTCTGTGAATGGTAAAATCTTTGGAATCCGATGATTCTTCAATATATCCTTTGATTTTGGAAACAATCAGAATTTCTGATGATACCAGATGATAAAATAAGAAGGGTGAGATATGACCTGTAACCGAATATAATGAAATCTTGCATTATGATGCAATAAAAAACGGTTTTTTCTGGCCTTACTCCGAGAAAACGTCTTTTGAGTACTGGTAAGGTTTCATGATACTTCATTCAATTCATTATTCTCTTTGCCATACCAACTCACTTTCCATCTGTAAACATCTTTAGCGTAGCCTAGAAGGTCATGCTAAAGATGTTTTAAGATGGAAAAAACGGTTATAATCTTCGTAATAGGCAAGGAATAAAGATGACAATACTATATCTTATTCTCTTGGTCATAATTATGAGACTAAACATTTGTGGCTACAAAATGGTCGTAGGCACCTGACCCAGTTTCATAAAACGCAGATCCAAGAGATTTTGTAAACTAGCACTCATATAAGCATAATTATAAATTTTTATTTCGAAAAAAATTTCATTTTAAAAATCTTATATACATATTTTTTTCTGTAGGAAGAAGAAATATTTTTCAATCTCAACTCCATGTTAAAATGAAACTTGACTGCGTAAGAAGAATACATTCGTCGCTCTTTCGAAGATTAGGAAAACTGATTGGCTACCATCCGTATTATTTCATAATTTTGCCAGTTTTATTATCTGCATCACTTTCCGTATTCATTTTTAATTTACAAACTATAAAGAATGTCATTGAGTTCATAGTATCGGATAGAGGGAAAATATTTAATACACAGAAATTTATCGAAAAAACATTTCCTTTTAACACTTCCGTATTTCTCGATCAATTAAGATTCACAAAAGTACCAAAATTCATCTTTGTAATGTTTACAAAAACAGACAAAGGAAGCATGTTAGACAAGGATGTTCTTTTGGAAATGAAAGTAACTGATGAATTTATTAAAAACATTACTGTTAACATTGACGGAAGAGAAATTGGATATTCGGAAGTTTGCGGTCGGGTTAATCAGAGATGCTTTGAAAACCCTCTTATTGAAGCACTGTCGGAAATAGACGATATAGTAACTAAGAATAAAAAGCTAAAATATCCGATGGATATAGACCCGTTAACTTACTCCTATAAAATATATTCTTTGAATTTGGGCGGTGTAACTGTAGATCAAAATGATTTCGTTGAGAATGTACAAAGTATGAGGCTGATATATTTTACTGACGAAAGTGACGAGAAAAAAGAAAAGTGGATTGAAAAATGGACAATGGAAGTATACAAAAATATAGAAAAACGTCATTTTAAATATGTCAAATCTTATTCTAATAATTTATGGATGACAGAAAATCGTACTTTATTCTTACTTCAAAACATAAAACCGATGATAGGAGCATTATTCGCATTTATTTCCATATTTGCTATTATAACTTGTATGAGTAATAGTTGGAAAAGAAGCAAACCTCTTCTAGGTGTTGCTAGTGTCGTGTCTGCAGGCTTGGCTGTTGTTTCTTCTTTCGGATTGATGTCGGCTTTCGGTATTCAAAGCACTATTTGGAATATCACCATTCCGTTTTTAGTTCTTGGTAAGTGCTCACTTTGGTATTACAGATAATATACGACATTAAGTGAAATTATAAACTGTTTACTTTTTATATAGTAACCGAAATAGACGACGCTTTTGTATTGATTGCTTGTTGGAGAATCACTAATCCGAAACACAAAGTGTCTACTCGCATGGCAGAAACGTATTGTGAAGCAGGCGTTTCCATTACTTTAACATCGCTGACTAATCTCTGTTCGTATTGCGTCGGAATGATGGCATCGTTTCCTCTAATAAGAATGTTCTGTTATTATTCGGCTTCCTGCATATTTTTTACTTTTCTTTATCAAATTACGTTTTTCGGAGGATGCATGGCTTTATGTGGCTGCAGTGAAGAAAAAGAGCATCATGTTTTACCAGTTCGTAATTTAGGTAAGTCATAATTTTGTCATGTCAAAATACTAATTTCAAGTGTACAAATTCAAACAAAAAACGGAATTTTTTATTTTTGCAATTTTTCGGTCATCAGAGACTATTGGCGATGAAAAGATCAGGTTAATATGAATATCTTTAACTCGTTAATAAAACACATGAAATAGTACGCACATTCATTCAACTTTTCTAAAGTTGTATTCTTTATAATTATATATATATATAAGGCGGTCCTGTACTTACATACCTAATTGGTTGCTGAAATGTGTATGAAAGTTGAAATGTATGAAAGTAGAGCAATGTTAAAAAATAAAAAAGAGTTTTCAAAATATTTATTTTTATTGATTAGTATCTGGTGATTTTCTTATAAATTTGTCAAGGGATAATTGAATTGTACTCTTTTTCTTTTCTTCATAAGATTTCTGTAACATTCTGTGTCTTTTTCTATTGCCAGTCGTACATGAGACATACACTCTCAATCATATATAGAGGTTATGAGACTTTGATTTCTTTTTGTCCGTATCAACACTGCTGTTTTTTTTTTTTTTTTTTCATTTTTAACTCATGTTTATGAATTAGTAGGGGCAAATTTTGTCATCAAAACAAAAAAATATATAAAGTGATATCAACTTTCATATGTAACTTTCATATGTATCCGTATGTATTAAAATTTGACAGATACATATTTATATACATTTTTATAATTATTTATCATGATAATTCAAATTAGTTTACTATCTATTTAATTGAGGAAAAGAAAAGTTGCTATAATTAGTATTTATTTTATTGTAACATTCAGGTTACATTCTTAAAATAAAAACAAAATAATTTGTATTCGTACTGTATGTTGTATTACTTTACGTAATCTTACATAATGTTAATTTATTATATTTTACTGATATAAAAAGTTTAAATAGAGGTGCAGTACATATCACAGATACAGTACACTTGTTTAAAACTTCGTTGTGTTACGTGTACTAAATTTAAAAAAAAAATACCAGTAAATCATTCATGATGTTCAATAAAATGCTTATTTTCTGTAATACAAGAAAATATTATGTAAATTATAATTTCACTATATATTTATTCGTAAAATAGCATTATGAAACATCAATTTGAGATCTAGTGATTTCTCTTTTCGTTGATCTCGATACTTTAAAGTCAAACATATACGATCAACATAACAATTATTTGAAATTGATTACAGTATACATACCAGACTTATTTGCATGAATATAATAAACACACCACTAGATACAAATTTTATTAAATAAACGTAACTTCTTATTATCTCACTCATTTCTTTTATGTTAATAATGTGATATTTTTGAATTTAGATTCAAAATGCTAGCTAGAAATAATAATATTTTAAAATATATTTTCAGATAACTTCGAAGATGCTTCTCAACAGCGTGAAAACTTAAGAACAGATCCGATGCTGAGATTTTTCAGAGATAAGTTAGGAAATATACTTTCTCATAACTTGGTCAAGATAATCGTCATTGTAACTTATTTAATAAATTTAGCATTTGGAATATGGGGAGCGTTAACTATAAGACACGGTTTAAATTTTAAAAATATGTTTTCAGACGCATCTCCAATAACAGAAAGCCACGAAATTTATTTTAAATATTTTACACAATATATGTATGCATATCAAATAATAATTAATAAAACTTTAGATTATTCAGATATAAAAGTACAGAAATCCTTAGAACAACTTTCAGAAAAGCTTCAAATACATCCTTATATGGCAGAATCAAAATTCGTCGTATCTTGGTTAAATTATTATAAAGAATTCCAAAATCACCCGATAGCAAAATATTCATTAAGTGGTTACAATATGTCTGTGAAAGAAGACTTTCTAGAAGGACTTCGTAATGTGTTTCTTAGGTTTAAAGCAGCCCAACAATTTTCTAATGATATCGTGTTCAACCATAATGGATCCGATATTATATGTAGTAGATTTTTTATCCCTGTCAAAGATGGGGTAAACATAAAAACCGAACAATGGTTATTATATAGATTATGGAAGATAGCCGAAGAGTCAGAACTCCCTATTCTAATTCACAGTCCTGCATCTTCTGCTATCGAACAGGCAATTGTTATTGGAAGTATAGTTAATGATTTATTCTGGATCACCTCTCTTATAATAATTGTGCTTTTTTTATTGGCCGTACCCAATATTATTTCGGCTTTCCTTGTAGCTATTTCAGTGGTTTCTACCATGGTAGAAACATTAGGATATATGACTATGTGGGGCATAAACTTGGATATTATATCTCTTATGAGTCTCGTATTATGTGTTGGATTCTGTGTTAATTATCCAGCACATATGTCTTATGCATATGTTTCGTCACCACATAAAATTCCAAATGAAAAGATGAAAGACAGTCTCTATCGGATTGGCTACCCTGTATTTCAAGGATCTTTGTCTACTGTTTTAGGAATATTGTTTATATATGAAGATATGTATATGCTTCTGTTATTTGTAAAAATTGTTTGTCTTATTGCTATGGAAACTGCATTTCACGCATTATTATTTATTCCCGTTATGCATTCCGTAATCTCTTCTATTTTTATAAAGAAAAATTCCACTGCTTCTGTTACAGAAGAAGTCGAGCTCATGCAAAAAAGAATTGAGACGACAAATATAAATAACTGAACTTTTGATTAACGTTATTAAAATAAAATTAAGTTTGTCATAAAATTTATTTTTTTTAGAAACACCCTGAACCGTAAACTAAATAAACATAACGGATAAATCAAAGACAAGTCTGTCCAAGAAGAATCACCATTTATTTTGCATTTCGGCCTACACACACACATTAATGGCGACAGGCCTTCCTTTTTAGGCTTCATGCCACCAAAAAAGTAAAAAAAAGTCTTTTGAAAACACAAACATCCAATTAAAAATAAAAAGAATCGATGACACACAGACGTCTTACTGCTCATCCATCTGGCCAATGGATGGTTCTGTTTTATATCTACTAGAAAAGTGCTGGAAGATGTAGATTTTGAAGCTGCCCCCTGGCGACGGTACATTTAAAAATTTCTTTTTGTTGAATTTTTCCGTCTGATGGCTGGATTATTATTAGAACCACCCATTGGCCAGATGGATGAGCGGTAAGACGTCTGTGAGTCACCGATTCTTTTTATTTTTAATTGTATGTTTGTGTTTTTAAAGGACTTTTTTTTACCTTTTTGGCGGCATGAAGCCTAAAAAGGAAGCCTGTCGCCATTAATGTGTGTGTGTGGTCCGAAATGCAAAATAAATGGTGATTCCTCTTGGACAGACTTGTCTTTGATTTATCTAATAATAATCCAGCCATCGGACGGAAAAATTCAACAAAAACATAATGGATTTTAATTAATATAGCTGTGTCATCAACTTAATCGCAGTCCATTTCAATTGAAACGGACTATGTCACTGGCTGCATTAAAGTTTATTTACCTAGACAAATCGTTCAATATCCCATTAATAGTAGCCTAAATAATTTGCAAAGAGAATAAAATACTCAAATGAAAAATAAATAAGAAATTTTTATAGAAATTAATTAAAATATTTAATTAGCATTAAAAAAATACTTTATATATGAAAGTATATAAACTTATACTGTAATAAAAACATGTCAAATAAATACTGTATATCTTATATACAAAAAAGGCATAAATTTAACAATATTGCNAGGAGTTTTTTTTTAGCATGTTTGTACGAATACTGTCGCAATTTTTTCGCCGTGATATAGGAATCCGAACTATAGGAACCTGTGTTATAGGGGGTCGACTGTATATAATAATAGTAAATAACATGTTTAGAAATATTGAAATTTATTGCTGAAATACGCAAAAAATTTACATAAGAATATATTTAAAAATTCAGGAACGTTTCATGCAGACCCGTAGCCAAAGTTTCGAGGTCTCATTCCTCATATTTTATTCTTTATTTGGCGGTGATCAAGGCTGACACCTTAACGTACTGGCCTTCCGTCCGAAATTTTGAAGTGTCTTCAGCCCCATGAGCACTTCTTGCTTAAGTGCCTGATTTGTTGATAAATCTTAATTTCAGATGGATTGAGAATCTGGTCTTCGAAAGTAATCATATTCAAAACTAATGTCGTTATGGTTTCATATGTACTATTTAAATTGATAGCTTGTTCCATCCCATTTCCTTACCTGTTACTTAGAATTGAATTGGAATTAGAATCTCTTAACAAATAAAATTTAGAAAGGGATGTTCTACCTGTTACGAGTTTTGTTCGATAATTTTACATTAAAGGTAATAAATATAAAAGAATAATTAATTTTAAATGAATTATTTCTAATGTAGAAACTATGTGAAATATTTCATATCAAATTACAGTGGAATAAATCATTAGTGGTTAACTTTGTATACTGTGCGAATAGAATAAAAATGCTGTAAAAAATAAACAAACAAGAAACATGATATTAACACATATGGTCTAACTTGATTGTTAACTTTGTGATATATAATAACGTCATTTTTAATCACACTATCGACAACCCTTAGAATGTTTTATTGTGGGGATGGTCCTAATCTCCAAGCTTATATTATAAATATTAGTTGAGTCAATGCACTAAAACTGTATCACTCAACTTTCAATTAACGGAAAATTAATGTTGTCCTGCAAAAGCAATATACTGTAGTTTATTTCATAAAAATAAATTATTTTTATCGTTCCTTTGGTTTAAAGAAAACTTTTTTAAAAATCTGTGACAAAAAGACGAAAATATTATAGTTAAAGAATTCATAATACAGTACAGTAGAGCGTCGTTTATCCGAATCAATTGGGGACTGGGGTTGTTCGGATAACTTATTTTTCGGATAACCAATTATGTACGAAAATTTGATATCTTATTATTCATCTTTAGACTTTCCTTGCTCAGTGGGCTCTAACAAATCCTTTTTTTCCATATCCATCGTGGGATGGGTCAGGCCCGCAGGGAGCCTGGGCACACAGAAAACCCAGGCACCTGGTGGTGAGAAATGCGCTCGCCATATCCGNTAGGACTTTATAGTTTTGATGTTCGTAAAACTTTTGCTATTGTTTCAATGTTATGAATATTTTAAATTATAAATGAATATACATTGTTGAGAATGATATGCGCTGTTGTACAGAATAATACATAATTTCATAAAACTATAATTAATTAAAACAATTCTACAATATTGTCTGAAACAAAAACCTTCTAAAAATAATTAGTTAAATTCTTCCTTATCAAGCATCAGTTTATCAACTTAAATCAATAAAAATATTGAAAGATGGCATATAATGAAAAAATATTTAAAGACAATTAAAGTATTCAAATGTAACAAGAAACAAATACGTGGAATATGTGAAATTTCGGCATATATTTATTGAAATAAGTAAATAATGTCAACATAATATTTATCTTAATATTTTGAATATTATTTCTTATATCTTCAACATTATTTAGTGATTGAAATTGTTAAATGAATCAATCGCATGCACTGTTTCCTACATAAGCTATAAATTAGTAAGGCGGTAGTATCTTACTAATTTATAACTTTTAGTATTAATTTTAAAACGAATATATGAAAACAATTTCACCTAATAATTTAATTAATAACAGAAATAATTGTATTATATCAGACTACTTGTTGCATCATTTTTTCTCACTGTTTTTGCAATGGAATTTGTGCACTAATTTCCTTTGCCCGATGATGATTATTGCCAAATTTTAATATTTCAAAATATTGTTAGGGAAATTTAAATCCAAAAAAATTTACATCGTAATTTTAAGAATCATTTATTAAATAAAAGTTATTGTTCTTGATTTAGTTTTATTGAATATCTTTACTTTCGATTTTTAATAAATTTTAAAATTAATTCAAAATATCCCCCAATAAATAAATAAAATTATAGACCTAAACATTAATAAAAAAATTAAGTTAGATTTTTATTATTTTCTATAACTTAAAGTACGTACAGAAGAGTTATTAGCGAGGTCGAGACCGAAGTTCAAACATTACTTGTACAGTACACGGCAAGCAGAAGTATTCGGTTTACGTTTTAACTCCAAGAAAAAATCGTTGCGGCGCACGTTCACATCACATGACTCAGTGAACGTCGCGCATTGAGTCACGAGAAATTTGTTCAAAAAATGGCGGATACATTTAACATCGAGGATTACGAGCGAAGATAAGTAAACAAATTAAACTGTTTAAAAGTATTTATAGGATGTTTAATAACACTAAATAATTATTTTTAATTAGCGTGATCTCTCCTACCGTACGATCGGACGATAGGACTACCTCATACTTTTGTCGAGAGAAATAGTTGCTTATGTAAATTCGGAAAATTAATTTTTAGAAAATTTACAAACGTATTACGCTGTTGATGGTAGAAGATGCTGTGGAAGAACAAACCTACCTTAAGATAAGCTCTATTACAGTGGCGTGCCGTCATTGGAAATGGTGGANTCCTCTCCCAAATTATTTACATTGATAAAATTTAACTTAATTAAAGAATAAGTGTCTAATTTTCTTCATATAATATAAGTTAGCAAATTATAAAATCTCTTAGTCTTTTTATAAGACCATTAATTTGTAGTAGCAAAATAAAAGCATATTTGTATAAGAGAATGACCTATAAATATCAAAATTCCAGTACGTAGTGGGACGGAGATCACGTGATTAACAGATGTGACGACTCATTATATCATATAAAGTTTCTGAATACATGCAGCGTTACTACATGCGTTTCTCTTTGCTCTTCGTTCTAATTTACCTGCCTTTCCTATTTTCTTATAATGAAGATAACATAGATAAAGGTACATATTTATTTTATAAAACTAATTAAATCAATCGCAAAGTTAGTTTAATGAAATATTTTAAATAGAATATTTATTTATTTAGTAAGATTCAGAAATACAGTATTCTAAATTTAATATTTAAACAATGTTTTAAAATTATATAAAAACGCTTAATTTAGGATTTTATTTTTAAATTTTGTTTTAGAAATGTGAAACAAATTTCGTCATTACGTAACGTTCGGTGAAACAGCATAATTGACGTCATAGTTTACCGATATATTACGTCATTACTACGTAATATCGATTAAGTTATTAAAGCTGAATTATATTGAATTAAAATTATAATTTAGTGTCCTTCCAGCTAAATGAATAAAAATTTTAATTTAAACACTAATTATATTGACCTTTGTAATTTATTATTCATATTTATTACTTTGAATTTAACAACATTTTTAATTACAGCACGTTTATCTAATTTTTTTTATTTCCGCTAATATAATCTATTTTAACAGTTTAAGCCTGTATTAAAACTTCTATAAAAATTACTATTTTTATAAGTTTTTTAAATGTTGACAAATATTAGTTTATATAGCCTATATTATATAACGTTGTTACAAATTACGTGAAGTATAATGACAGATTAATTAAGTATAATGTTGACAAATTATAAAAGACATTTGTTTATAAAAGCCTTAAACAAAAATGTATTATTTACTTTAAAAAATAGTAAATAAATATGCAACAAACGAATAATAACCAAAAAAATATGGAAATTATGATCGGTAATGAGCTTTAGATTAAATAAAAATTAATTGATTTAGTGATTAATTAATTAAAGAATTATCTAAAGCAGTGATAAACATCTTTCTATAGATGTTGGCCACGAGTGAACCCTGTAGACTGCCGGCAGGCACATATTTCTTTTTTATGGAATTCCAGGCTTCAGCATGCAGAGCACCAATATACTCCATAATCGCCAGTATACTAGTACAGTACTAAAATAATGTTTGCTAATGTAAGTCACATCGAGAAACACGAAATTATGTTTATCAATGTAGTTAGCAGTTTGAATAGTAATATGCCACAAATGATTAAAAAAAAAATATGATGAAAAGTGTAATAAAGAAATTAAATTAAACTAAACTACAGTGAAAGGTGAGAAAATATAATAGTTTGCATTCAAACGGGAAAATCTTGGATAAATTGGAGATCCTTTAGAGAAAGAGCGTTTGAGATTTCTCCAGTCTGGACTGAGGGAACTGTGTCTTTAGTCCTTATTTTATAATGTCGGTGAATCGCTTGACACAGTTAAGATACATATATTTGAAATAGTTACATAAAAGTTAAAAATTTGCATTGAGATGGCAGGAAGGAGTTCAGCGTAATTGCCGACACGTGGACGAAACGAAACGATAATTGATTTAAATCGGTACAGAATCCTGGCAAGTAGTTACAGCGGAGGCAATCGAAGAGCGATGTAACGTAGTGTCATGTAGTGGGGATGAGAAACATAAATCTGGTTCCTTACTCTTTTAACTCGGATAACTTTTCCATAGTTCAACCGAAATTCGCCAAACGCTGTAAAAATATGAAGCGATTGACTGACTTTATATTGCAAAAAATAGCACCCAAAAATGTCAAAATACTCTTTTGTTATTAAGCGTCAAAGAGTCAAAAGTCGACACTTTCGTTTATTGAATACTAGCTTACCCGTCGCGCATTGCTGCGATCTCAGAAGAAACGAAATTCAAGCAAACCCGTTATGATAAAATTCAATTTACATTTTATCATATTTATTGAAACTTATTATTATTATTCATTTTCATCGGGAAAACATTTCAAAGTGTCGTTTCAATTCTATTTATTTATTGGAGCGCTTGTGGATACACGATATTTTTTGTTTTTCTGTCTGGTGCGTACACGAATAAATCAGAAAGCTTTCCGACGCGTGAGCTGGCCACATACAGTTGTCCACGCGAGAAGCACGCATTCTCCAAATTTAACCCACACACTCGCAGTGATTGCCAAAAGCGCGATATTCCCCATATATATATATATATATATATTTAATCCTTTACAATTTTAATTATTTAATTGCTCCTTCCGCTCTTCCTTGACACGTTGTGAAATTTCTGATAGTTGGATAATAAACCGTTTTATTGTAATTTGTCTTTTTAAATTATTTTGAGTCGATATTAAAATTTGGAAAAGGGG